ATGCGACACGTGTCTTTTTAATTTAACATTATTTTTATTATTTTCAACTAGTTATCCATTAAAATAACGACACGTGGCATTTAAATATTTTTTTGTTTTTTTATTTAAACCAAATTTACACACAGTTATACCCAAGATGTCAGTTGTACTCATCTCTAAATAGTTGTACATTAGAAGTTAAAATTAGTATATAATTGTACATACTCTAATCTTTATAATTTTAGATTGTACTGGTAAGTAATATTTTTATCTTCTTTAGGTAACTATGTAATCAAAATTTTAATAACACATTATTAGCATCTGTTGCATCTTTATATGATATCTATTAACAAACTAACCATGAAAGTATAAGATATATATAGTTAACTCTTGACCATAAAATTTTTTTTTATCAAAACTCTATTTACTAAATAGATATATTGTAAGTTAAGTTTTGTTTTCATTTACTCATGTACTTTATATTTTTTTATACATCCAAATTTCACTTAATAAAACAAAATAACTAATAAATTTAAATACATCTTATTAGGAGAAATATTTAGTAAGAACTAATACAATATTATTAATAAAAAATAATAATGACATTCATTTCCAAATTTGAGAATGGTAAGAGCAAAAAATACTATGCTCCAAAGTCTAAAAAAAATGAAATTATCTCACAATTTGGCGATGAATCCCAGTTAAACCAATAGTTAGTGTAACATTTGAAACCAATCTCATCTTCCCTCAGCATGACACGTGTTGTATTAATTGGGTCAATTTTGGTGGCAACTCTAAAATTATTTTCCTCATTTTCTCCCAAATTAATTAAAAACAAAATCCATTTTTTATAAGTCAATTTCAAGTCGCATTTATATGAAACAGCGTGTTCTGTATGAATGAGTCATATTCAAATCCTTTTTGATAACTTTCTTGTGCAATTTCATTGATTCCAAATTTCCAATTTCATCCCATCACGAGCTTGCCCAAGACTAGCAAAAGAGAGATTCATGGGCATCCATCTAAGGAAATGAGAGATTTATGGGAATTCATAAATTATATTGTTCTATACAAATGGGTTCTTGTGGCATAGATTTAATCGGAGTAATGAGTGTTGCCAACTAAAATCCGTCGGAAATTTCTAGTCACAACACAATTTCAAACATCTTGAACATCTGCAATTTTTGAAAAACCAAACAAATTTAAAACCCACATTTTATTCATCCAAAATTGATTTTGAACCTTTTTTATTTTCTACTTTTTTCAAACTGAAACTTAATTATTCTATAGGAGATGAAGTGGTTGACTCAAATTATGTTGAATTGGGTATAAACAAAAGGAAGAATTTTACCCAGAAAAAAAGAAAAGTAAAAGGAAAGAGAAGAGGACGAAAGAGAAGGGATGGATGGAGTTGTGATTTTCATGGATTTGACTCAGCTACATTCGGGTCATGGGTTTGGGTGGGTAATGCAATGGTTGGGTCGTAATATTAATGAAGTTAGAAGGTTATTTGGACATTCTACAATTCATTGATTTAAAGAAAAGGTTTAATAAATTCTAAGTTATAAGGAGGGTAGACTAGAAGCATTTTGCTCAATTAAGACTATATGAGCCATTGTTCCCGTTTCTTGTCTGTTCGTGCGTCCCGTGCGGGCGGTTCTGTGTTGCGCGATAGATCAATCCGGCCGAGCATAGCCGTTCCTTCCCGTGACCGTAACGGTCGGCCAGGTTGGAAATTGCTTGGCCAGAATTTCTTTTGCGCGTCCGCGGCCAATGGTTTGGCGCGGATTGTGTTTTTCACACCTTTTTCTCCTTCTATCCTATCTTAAAACAAAGAAAACACAAAAGCAAAACAAAAACTAAGAAATTTAAAGAAAGAAAAGTAAAAGTACCTCATGGGTTGCCTCCCATGCAGCGCTTGTTTTAAGTCTTTAGCTTGACTGTAAGGCTTGGCACAGGAGAAGATGAGACAAGAGGCATCTTGATCCTCCAAGTCTTTTCTCCTTGCAATGAGTATCTGGTGGGTGATTCACAGCTGGATAGACAATCTCTCCATGAATGTCCCTTGGCACTACTGCCTTAGGAAAAAGTTGTAGAGTTCTTGTCAACTTTCTCCTTGAATCCTTCTAGATTCTCATCAATAAGCTCCTTTGGGAATAGAAGCTTCATGTTGCGGCCAGATCCTAGGCTTTTCTACCTTCCTTCTTGGCTTGGCCTCATCTTCAATCTTGGATGATCCCTTGGGCGGTTTTGGTGTAGGGGCCTTAGTCTTACTCCTTGCTTGTTGGCAAGCTGCTTGGGCTTAGGAATGGGATCTTCCTTGATTGTTTTCAGTTTCTCCTTCTTGGGGTGGCTTCAAAGTACTTTCTCCTCTTGACCATGTCAACAAAAGAGTTTTTGTTGAACACATAGGGAAGAACATACCCTTGTTCACCTTGTTGAAAGAGATTCTTTGATTGGGGAAATCAAATATGGCACCCACAGTAGACAGGAAAGGGGTTCCAAATATGAGAGGTCTATGGCTACTCTCTCTCATTTCCACAATCTGGAAATCAGTAGGGATAGAGCAATTTCCAATCTGCACCATCACATTAGGCACAAAGCCATAGGGGTTTGTGAGAATGAATCAGCATAGTTGATGGAGATGGATGATGGCTCTATCTTGGTGAGGCCTATCTTGTCAGCTATCCTCTTAGACATGATGTTCACATTGGCTCCTGTGTCACACAAAGATTGCTCAAGAATGTTACCTTTGATGATACAAGGCACAACAAACTTTCCTGAGTTATCTGTCTTGGGGATAATCTTTGGGAAGAGTCTTCTCTTTCTAGCTCGATTGGACTCTCTCTCTGGGTAATTCTCTTCAGGCCAAATCATGCAATCAACAGTAGGTTTTGAAAGCATCCATTCTGGAACTTGGTCTTCAAATCTTTCTTCTATGGCGGCTGAGTTGCAAAAGGACTTCTTGGATTCAGCTTCCTGTCTCTTAACAGCTTCCATAGTTTGAGTGACTTGAGTCTCTAGTTTCTTCACATGAGTGGCAACAGCATCATACTTGGTGTTGAGATTGCTGAACAAAGTGTCCATCTTCTCATACATCTCTTTAGTGTTTCTCTTCTGGCCATCCATGATCTGTTGGAGGATTCCTTCAAATCTCCCACCTTGTTGGTTTGGAGGAGCTTGATTTGGTGAAGAAGCATATGGCTCCTTGGGCGGATATGATGATCTCTGCTCATATCCTTGCCTTGGCTGAAATTGACTTCCTTGAGATTGGTAAGGAGGTCTTTGTTGTTGTGGATACCTTGGAGGATACACTTGGTCTTGAGGATTCTCCACATTGGGGTTTCTATAAGACATGTTGGGGTTTGGGCGATAGCTTGGATTGTATCCCTTGTTCCCATAGTTTCCAATGTAGTTCACATCTTCTTCATTGGCTTCATTAGAGAAATCTCCCATGCATTCTCTTGATGAATCTTCATTAGCATCACTCATCCCTTCTATTGCATTGATATGCTTGAGCTGTCCCTTAAGAACTTGAGCCATCATGTTCTTGAGTTCAGTCATTTGAAAAGAATCAGGGGAGCTAGTAGTGGTGCGGCTTGAGCGGTCATAATCAGGACAGTTGTTACAATCACTAGCTGCAAGATTCTCAATAAGAACCTTAGCTTCATCAACAGTCTTGGTCATGAAGTTTCCATTGCTTGCAGTGTCCAATGAAAGCTTGTACTTGTGGTCTATGCCACGATAGAAGATGTTCCATAGGTTTCCCTCATTGAAACCATGATTAGGGCAGTCCCTAATGTACTCCTTGAATCGATCTAGCGCCTCATAGAAAGATTCATTGTTGGCTTGGCGAAAGTTGGAGATCTTGTTCCTTACAGAAATTGATCTCTGCTTGGTGTAGAAGTGGTTGATGAATGCAGCCTTGTACTCATCCCAAGTGGTAATGGAGTGAGCTGGCAGAGACTTCAACCATCTTGAAGCTTTGTCGCCAAGAGAGAATGAAAAGAGCTTGCACTTAAGGTAGTCAGCAGAGACTCCATTGGATCTTGTAGTGCTGCAAATTTCTTCAAAGTTTTCTATGTGATCAAGAGGGTGCTCAGCTGGAAGTCCATTGAATTGGTTCTGTCTAACCAATGCTATGATCTGAGGCTTGATCTCATAGTCATTCCTTGCAGGAAGTGGTGGATGGATAGGGTTTCTATCCATGAAGAAAGCATCGGCAGAGTCATAGTCTCCGATTGTTGGTGCTCCAGCTTGAGGTTGCACATTCACATCTCCAGCAGGGTCTTGTGGATTAGGAGGAGGAGGAGGTGGATCTCTTCCTTCTTCTTGAGCGCGCGCCACTTCAGCGGCGTGAGCGCGAGCTGCTTCGTCGGCCATCTCTTGGGCTTTTGCTTCCTAAGTTGCTTCTCAAGCTTGTCTATCTCTGGATGTTCAACTAGGTTGTCCTTGTTGGACCTCCTAGTCATGCACCTGAAAAGAGTCTTAGGAAACAAACTAAATCAAAAGGGAAAAACAAAAAAAAGCAAAAATCAAAGAAAAGGAAATCAAAAACTGAAAATTCAAAAGCAAAAGAAAAGTAAAACAGGAAAAGGTTCTAGACTAGATCCTAGTCGAGTTCCAAAGGTACTGCTGCAGTCCCCGGCAACGGCGCCAAAAACTTGATGCGGAGTCAGGTTTTACCAAACTCCTAGACCTCTGCAAGTGCACAGATCGCGGAAGTATGGGTATCGAACACAAGGACTGGCTATTGAGTACACTTTGAAACTATGGATTTTGGATCAAGCTAAAACAAAAGTATGATTGAGGTTGTAATGGTGAACCGAACTAGCAAGTATAACGAGGTTGTAAATCAATAAAGGAAAAGCGCTAGGTCATAGGGGCTATCGCAGAGAAGCAAGCAATGATCAATGAAACAATGATAGATGAATTGATTAGGGATATTGGGATATTAAGAACCATCTAGAACACAGATCACGAATATAAAACCATTCCACTTTCGAGGCTCCGGCTCCTTTGTTAATCTACCTAGTCGCTAAACTTTTGGTATGTCCCTAGGTGATTAAATCAAGCTTTAGAATGAATAGGTTCTGATACAGTTCACTAGATTATAGTAGATCAACTTTCGCAGTCTAAGAAACCTAGCTTGTCAAAGAATATGTCCGGCGAATGATACAGCACTGTCGAGGCTCAAATCAACCTAAGATCGGATTACTAGATGCGCGGTAAAGCAATCAGCATTAGTTAAGTGCACAAGACGAGACAAAGACTCTAATATAATCCCTAGCTAATCATTGAAATCAAAGATCATGCAAGCAACTCATTGAATAGTAACCCTAGCAACCTAACTAGTGGATTACTCAGACATGATCAAAGCAAACACACATAGAGATGAAGAAAACATGATTGCAATAAAACTTAGAGTAGGAAATCGAAATACAAGGGCGGCTCTCTTTTCACAAGAGGCTAAAAAGCTATATATATAGTGCTAGGTCTTTTGAGGCGGCTTAGGGTTAAGCCGGGCTTGAAAATATGAAATCGGGCTTCAAAACGGGCTTCGGGTCGACCGCGGCGTTGGGACGGTCGGTCGGGACGATCGGCCGGATGATCGGGTCGTGGGCCGTACGATCGGAACGGTCGTGGCCGGACGGATTCGTGGTCGGCCGCTGTGGTCGGACGGATGAAGATTGGCCGATGAAATTCTCGGCCGGACGCGGGACGTAGTTTCCCGGCTCGGACGGCGTCGGCCGTGGTACGCGAGAGTTGCGCGGCCGCGAGGCTTGTTCCCGGCTCGCGCGCTTGGTCGTGCGCGGCTGTGGCGTAGCGTTGTGGCGTGGCCGACCGCGGGCAATAGTTTCCCGGGTCGTGATGCGTGCGGCCGAACGGTTTTGGACTTTGGCCGAGACTTCACGGACGGACGAGATTTGGCCGAGCGTGGAACATTCGTTCCTCGGCCAGCCGGACTGCGCGGTTTGGGCGCTGATTCTCGATAGAGCCGTCTGGACAGTCTTCACTCTTTTGGTTGTAACTCCTTTTCTACTCATCCAAATAGGCCGTTCCAGTTGCGTTGGAAAGTTAACTCAATCAGAGCACGCAGGGAACTGGTCTTGATGAAATCCATTGAGTAGATCTTTTTCTGGGCCCTCTTAAAGTTGGTGCTTGTGCATGGAGCGGCTTGAAGTGCAAATCCTATGGTTTTGCTCCAAAATGCATCATTTCACCTGTTTAGACTCTAGACACTATAAACACAGTAAAACTACCTTTTTAGATAGAAAACCTGCCAAAAACCATTAGAAAACAATGCTAAAACAGTATAAAAAGTGGGTAAATTAGAGGTATATCAGTGGGCCGGAGGGCGTTTTGGACTTGGGGCGACTTCCTTGGGAGTTCAACGCCAAGTATTTCCCGAGGCAGGCTCGTGATCGTCTTCAGATGCGGTTTATGGACATTGAGCAGGGTTCGCGTACTGTACGCGAGTATGATGAGGAGTTCAGCCGTCTGTTAGTGCATGCGGGCTTTGGCATGGAGGGTGAGCATCAGTTGACGAACCGATTTCTGGAGGGACTTCGCAAGGATATCCGGACGCTATGCGAAGTAGTATGCATACTTCGAGGGCGAGTCTGGTAGAGTTGGCCGCGTCGGTAGAGGCGGATTTGAGTGGCCAGTTGGTTCGGTGGCTGTGCGGGTCTGCTCCAGCTATCCTACCTCGGAGTCAGCAGCAGCAGCGCAGAGGAGGCGCGAGTTTCAGTTCTGGTTCTGGCAGGGGCGGTTTGCCTGCGCAGGGCCAGAAGAGGAGTCGAGATGAGAGCTCTGGAGGTAGTCAGGGTACTCGAGGTGCTTGTTACCGTTGTGGGAGTACAGAGCACCGTATGGCGAGCTGTCCTAGGAGGGAGGGGGTTCAGGATGCGAGGGTGTGTTATCATTGCAGGCAGCCGGGTCATCTCAGACCGGCGTGTCCCCAGTTGCAGAGGATGGGTGGCAGCGATTCAGCCGGTAGCGGCTCAGCCGGTGAGTCAGATTGGCGGTGCAGCCAGCGGGTCAGAGTGGATCAGCACCGCGGGGCTATTTTTCAGTGGAGACCGGCGGGACCAGTCAGGCCGGGCAGATCACAGGTAAATCTTCGACTCAGACTTTGTAAATTCTTAGTATAGAATTTGTTGTTGTGATTGTCTGTTAGTCATTTTTATCTGTGATAGTCTTGTGGAGGTTCTCAACGCAATTGAATGTGTAGGGACCTTGTTAGTGGGCGGTTTTGAGTCCCACGTTTTATTCGACTCTGGAGCATCGAATTGCTTCATTACACCGGAGCGTGCCGAGAAGAGTGGCATCCGGAGTAGCGCGGCGAGAGCGCGGGCATGGTCAAGGTGGCGGGAGGTGGATTCTTGTCTACTTTGGGCCGTGCTAGAGGAGTCGAGATCGAGATTGCGGGGCAGTCAATGCCAGCAGACTTAGTCATCAGTCCGGTGGAGCTGTATGATGTTATTCTCGGGATGGACTGGTTGTCACACTACAGAGTTCATCTGGATTGCTACAGAGGTAGAGTGGTCTTCGAGCGAGATGCAGGGAGGTTGGTTTATCAGGGAGTGAGACCGACTTCCGGGAGTATTGTGATATCTGCTATTCAGGCCGAGCAGTTGTTAGAGCGGGGCTGTGAGGCGTATCTGGCGACGATTTCTATGTCTGAGTCAGGAGCTGGAGTTGTTATGGGAGATATTGAGGTTGTCCAGGATTTTGAGGATGTCTTTCAGTCACTGAAGGGATTACCACCATCTCGGTCTGATCCTTTCACGATTGAGTTAGAGCCGGGGACAGCACCGATATCGAAGACGCCTTACAGGATGGCGCCAGCTGAGTTGGCAGAGCTGAAGAAGCAGATAGAGGACCTTTTGTCTAAGGGGTTCATTCGACCAAGTGTTTCACCGTGGGGAGCACCGGTGTTGTTTGTGAAGAAGAAGGATGGCAGTTTCAGACTTTGTATCGATTACAGAGGTCTTAACCGAGTCACTGTGAAGAACAGGTACCCACTCCCGAGGATTGATGAGTTGTTGGATCAGTTGAGGGGTGCTACTTGGTTCTCCAAGATTGACTTGGCATCGGGGTATCATCAGATCCCGATAGATGAGGCAGATGTCAGGAAGACTGCTTTCAGGACGCGTTATGGGCATTTTGAGTTTGTGGTTATGCCTTTCGGTTTGACTAACGCGCCGGCAGCCTTCATGAGATTGATGAACGACGTGTTCAGGGAGTATTTGGACGTGTTTGTCATCATTTTCATTGACGATATTCTGGTATACTCGAGGAGTCAGGAGGAGCATGCGACTCACTTGAGGTTGGTTCTGGAGAAGCTTCGGGAGCAGAAGCTTTTTGCTAAGTTGAGCAAGTGCAGTTTCTGGCAGCGAGAGATGGGATTTCTTGGCCACATTGTTTCTGCAGAGGGAGTTTCTGTGGATCCGGCTAAGATTGAGGCTATCAGAGATTGGCCTAGACCTAGTAGTGCCACAGAGATCAGGAGTTTTCTGGGTTTGGCAGGATACTACAGGAGGTTCGTCAAGGGGTTTGCTACCATGGCGCAGCCGATGACGAAGTTGACTGGGAAGGATGTCCCGTTTGTTTGGTCAGCTGAGTGTGAGGAGAGCTTTAGTCAGCTCAAGGAGATGTTGACTACTACACCAGTGTTGGCGTTACCCGAGCCAGGGAAGCCTTACATGGTGTATACAGATGCTTCAGGCATTGGTCTTGGTTGTGTGCTGATGCAGGAGGGCAGAGTGATAGCATATGCTTCGAGACAGTGGCAGGGCAGTGAGCGTAACCGTCCTACACATGACTTAGAGTTGGGAGCAGTGATCTTCGCGTTGAAGATTTGGAGGTCTTACTTGCTAGGTGAGACAGTACAGGTCTTCACGGATCACAAGAGTTTGCAGCATATCTTCACTCAGCCGATGATGAACGCGAGACAGACGCGCTGGGTTGAGTTCTTGGCGGACTATCAGGTGAGCATTAACTACCATCCGGGCAAGGCTAACCTAGTGGCGGACGCGTTGAGTAGACGGAGGTATGATTCCGCAGTTGAGCGAGATGTGGAGTCTCTAGTTGGCGAGATCAGTACCTTGCGTTTGTGTGCCATTTCGCAGGAGCCTTTGGGTTTAGAGGCAGTGGATCAGGCGGATCTACTTAGCAGGATCAGAGTTGCTCAGCAGAGTGATCAGAGTTTGCTGGATGCGACGAGAGTGACTGGTTCTGAGTATGAGGTCTCTGCGAATGGGACTATCTTGGTTCGTGGGCGAGTTTGTGTGCCTAAGGATGTGGAGTTGAGACATCAGATTTTGGGAGAGGCTCATGCGAGCAAGTTTTCCATTCATCCAGGAGCGACCAAGATGTACCATGACCTCAAGAGGTACTATCATTGGGTCGGGATGAAGAGGGATGTAGCAGACTGGGTTGCGAAGTGCAACACTTGTGCCTTGGTGAAGGCAGAGCATCAGGTTCCGGGTGGTCTTTTGCAGAGTTTACCCATTCCAGAGTGGAAGTGGGACAGGATTACGATGGATTTCGTGGTTGGACTACCTGTTTCGAGGACTTTCGATGCTATTGGGTGATTGTGGATCGGTTGACTAAGTCTGCACATTTCTTGGCCATCAAGAAGACAGATGGAGCTGCTGTCTTGGCTAGGAAGTTTGTGCGAGAGATTGTGAGGCTGCATGGAGTGCCAGCTAGTATTGTGTCAGACCGTGATCCCAGATTCACTTCAGAGTTTTGGAGGGCGTTTCAGGCAGAGATGGGCACTAAGGTGCATCTGAGTACAGCTTATCATCCGCAGACAGATGGTCAGTCAGAGAGGACTATTCAGACTTTGGAGGATTTGCTGAGGATGTGTGTGTTGGATTGGGGTGGCCATTGGGCAGATCACCTGAGCTTAGTTGAGTTTGCATGCTTTCAGGCGAGTATTGGCATGGCTCCATTTGAGGCTTTGTATGGGAGGCCATGTAGGACACCCCTATGCTGGACCCAAGTGGGGGAGCGCAGCATGTATGGAGCTACTTATGTTCAGGAGACGACAGAGAAGGTTCGTGTTGTGAGGCTGAACATGAAGGAGGCTCAGGATAGGCAGAAGAGTTATGCAGATAGACGCAGACGAGAGCTTGAGTTTCAGGTTGGAGATAGAGTTTATCTCAAGATGGCTATGTTGAGGGGTCCTAACAGATCCATAGCAGAGAACAAGCTGAGTCCGCGTTTTATGGGTCCGTTTCCAGTAGTGGAGCGAGTTGGGCCATTGGCTTACAGGCTGGAGTTGCCTGAGATTATGAAAGCCTTTCACAAGGTTTTTCATGTGTCGATGCTGAGGAAGTGTCTTCACCCTACAGAGGAGTTAGTGGCTAGGATTCCAGAGGATCTTCAGCCAGATTTGACAGTGCCGGCAGTGCCTGTGAGGATTTTAGAGAGGAGGGAAAAGGTTCTGAGGAACAAGAGGATTCCCTTACTGAGGATTTTGTGGGATTGCAGTGGTTCTACAGAGGAGACTTGGGAGCCAGAGGCAAAGATGAAGTTGAAGTTCAGGAAGTGGTTCGACAAGCAGGTCGAGGAGTGAGCTTATTTCATCTTTGTAGCCTCAGTTGTTTAGCTTTTGGCTTTGTATTGTATTTTCGTTTTGGTTGTAACGATATACATTTTGGAGTTTTAATGAGATGCAGTTTTTCCTCATTTTGCCTTGTGTTGTAAGTGGTATTTCGGATGTTACAATGTTTGACCAGTTTTTGGTTGTGAGACGGTCTAATCTTATTGTTATAGACGTTTGGAATTTTTACTCTAAGGATTGCGATCCTGAATAACTCATCATGTTTTGGAGACAGTGTTCTCTGGCAGACTCATCTGAGTGTAGTGGCCTCAGTATGAGTGACTTAGCTGAGTGTAGTGGCCTCGGTATAAGTCATGGCTGGCTTATTTGGGTGTAGTGGTGAAAACAAGATTTTTAGGTGTTTCAAACCCTTAATCCCTGCTCATATCATTGCAGCATAGTTTAAGGTTATCAATCCACCTTGATTACCCACATAGTTGAGCTCCCTCTCTTGAGTTTTCTCCTTGTCTTGAATCACAATCTCCTCACTATTAAGGAAGTGGACTTTCTTTTTCTGACCAGACAGTATCTTGTCAAGCTTATCATTTAGAGTCTTGAGCTCTTTCTTGTGCTTCTCCTCTTGAGCAGCACTGCTTCTCTCAGCTCTGTTACAATCTTCACCATAGTTTCCATCACTAGTTGCAATGTTCTCAACTAAAATCAATCCAGCATCAACATCTTTACCCATGAAGTAACCATTGCTTGCTGAATCAAGATGCATTCTGTACTTGGGTAATGCTCCTCTGTACAAGGTACTGAGTAGATTCTCCTCAGAGAAACCATGGTGAGGACACTGCATCTGGTAGCCCTTGAAGCGCTCATATGCCTCACAGAAAGATTCTCCATTCATTTGCGTGAAACCGGAGATATCATTGCGCAGCTGTGCTGTTCTTGAGGTTGGAAAGAACTTAGCCAAGAAAGATTGCTTACACTGCGCCCAAGTGGTGACTGATCCAGCAGGTAGAGATGCTTCCCAAGTGAGAGCTTTATCCTCTAGAGAGAAAGGGAAAAGCCTTAACTTGAAACCATCTTCAGAAACTCCATTGAGTTGCTGCAAAGAACAAATTCTGTCAAACTTGTCAAGATGCTTCAATGGGTCCTCATCCTTCATGCCATGAAACACTGAACTCTCCACCAATGAGACCAAGCTGGTCTTGATTTCGAAGTTAAAAGGGACTGGTGGTGGGGTGATTCCGTGGCAGTTGAGGGTGTGGAGGATGAACTGGATATCCTCCATGCTGCTGGTCAGCTCTCAATGGAAACTCTGGGACTTCTGGTGGGTCTGCCATGCTCACAAGCTCTGGTACGTCGTTCTCTAGCTGCTGTTCAGCTCTCAGTTGCTTCTCAGCTCTATCTCTGCCTTGCTTTGACTGTTTCTCTTGTTCAGCTCTTTGAAGATCACTTGTCCAGAACAGAATGTCTTGACCACGTGATCTTGTGTTCATAAACCTGCAAAACCACAGATAAATATCAAGACCAGATTAGTAGCAAATGAAAGTTAAAAGAAAAACTCGGTTTTGAAAACCCGGTTGAAAAAATAAAAACTTGATCTGCAGAAATTTCTAAATCGAAAATTCCCAATCAAATCTCTCCAAATGGCAACGGCGCCAGTTTGAAAACAAGATTTTTAGGTGTTTCAAACCCTTAATCCCTGCTCATATCATTGCAGCATAGTTTAAGGTTATCAATCCACTTTGAAGAGTGATTGGGGCAAGAAAGAATGCAAGAAATTTCTCAAGTCAAGAGCAAAAAGATTTGGTTTTGTGAAATCCGAAATGAACAGTAAAAATGCAGAAATAAAGGCAGTAAACAGAGTTTGAAACAATTTGAAATCAAAGACTAAGCTAGAAACCAAAATGCTCAAGCAAGTAGATGAATTCAAAGGAAGAAAGAGGTCTTAGGATGGGGTAATTGATTAGAGAACCTTAGAGGTTGATAATGATGTTTAGACTAACAATCCTAGGAAGAGAATTCAAGAAGCAAGATTAACCCATTTTCATGGTGAAAATCACAAAGCAAAAACCCAATCCAAGAGCTAATTATCATTAGTGGAAAGGATTCAGCCAGCAATAAGCAACAATTCTCCTAAACCAATAAGTTCTCTAAACAGTCATTATCATGAGCTAGAGAAGCAAATCCCCTTGTTGGTTGGTCCAACATTTCTCCAAACACTTTTGATGTGGAAAATGTTTAAAACCTAGATTCAAATGATCATTTGAGACCTAGCATTAAGAAAACCCAACAAGGAAGGATTGCATTACGAATTTAAACCTCTAAACATCAGAATCAAACCCTAAAAACTCTAATCTATCCCATCCTCTAAGACCAAAGGGATTTACTCACTAATCATGCTTAGAACACCAAATTCCATGAGGAAAAGGGTTCTAATCATGATTAGAGAGATAAGATAAGAAGATTGTAGAAGAAAAGAACTTGATTTGATTAAAAACGAACTTGGGATCTCACAAATTGTTAAAAACCCTAAAAGAGGCTGTTTTTGGTGTTCTTCAAAAGGAAAATTACAAGATGGCTAAAATAATAAGACTTTAAAGTATTTATACTTGGAGACTCCAAAACCCTTGGTCAACTCATTTAGCTTGACTTCTTCCTTCCCCAAATGGTCTTGGCTCCAAACTTTGCGTTTTGGTCTTCATTTGGTACAGCTGGATAGTGGTCAAAGCTCAGTCAACGCGGGTCAACTCGTCCTCTTGGTCAACACTCAGCTGAAAGGCGAGAAACAGGTTTCTGAACCTGTTTGACATCCTGGTTGCGAACTCCTGAGTATTCTTTTAATCTCCAACCTCCCATACTAGCTCCAAACTCCTCAAAAGTACCTAAATACAACTCCAAATGCAGAATGTATGCAATGTATGCTCTAAATGGTATGAATGTACACAATGAAAGGTAATTGACCTTAAATGAGTAAAATGAGTGTTGAGAACATGCAAATATGTATGATATTATATGTCTAAATGATGTAAAATATGAGTATATCAACACCCCCAAACTTATCACTTGCTTGCCCTTAAGCAAGAAGAACAAATCTGAGAGTATTGGATTTGGAGAAATAATCAGATTCCAAGGTGCAATGAGAAGAAATGAGATCAATGTCCTAGTTGAGAATTATAAGATGCAAAGTGAGTTTGCTTTACTTCAAAAACTTTATCCACAATCATCAAAGCAACAAAATGACACTAGACCCAATCTACACATGCATTCATATCACTCTCACCTTTTGACATTCAATTAACACAAACCGTGAATCAAAACTCATGCACTTCAAGATTTGCTCATTTGGTTAAGGGTTTAGGCTTTTTAGGAGATAAGAAAGGTTTCTCCAAAGTGGTTTGCTCATTTTTAAAACAGGGATCTCTCAAAGATGGATTGAGCTTGGGTAAAATGCTAAGAGTCAAGTCCAAGGATGATACAAAGCTGAACTTCCATCTACCCAAAACAGAGCTGAGAACCCAAAGATACTCATTGAAATCCTAACTACCCTTTTCTTCAAGAATTGGAACCCAAATGAACCCAAAGAACACTCTCTCTTTCCTTTCTTTTCTGGACCTTGAGAGGGTTATAAACCAGGACTTAAGGGAGGATAAACTTTCTTTTCAAAACAGAGGATTAGACTTTTTATGAACTTTTGTGGTTTAAGGCTTTTATTTTCTAGGCTTTGATTTTCTCTTTTTTCTTGCCTAACTTTGACAACTTCACACACAGCCACCACTCTTTTTAACTCTCCTCTTTCTTTTCTTTTATCTTTCTCCCATCCTTTCTCTTTTTTACTTTCTGCCACTCTCAAGGTCTTTTATAAACTCACTCTCTTCCTCACAAACTCCCAACCACCCAATTCCTAAGCCTAGTCTAGCTCAAAAACCGTGAGCTAGTTCTATATGGAAGCTCAAACTTTGTCGGTCAAGACTCAACACTTTTTGCTTAGCTCAATCTGGAAAAGGCCTCACATCTCTCAGTAAAATCTTTGGCTTGAAAGAAATGTTTGGTTAAGGGAGGGTTATCAAACAAACTTGGACACACAAAGAAGGATGAAAATTGGATAAAGAGTGTCCAAGGGAAACAAAATCCATGAGCAGAAACTTTCAATGCATGAGAATGATATTTAAATGATCAAATTATGTTCCCATAGATAAGGTGAGAGATCAATTCAAAGCAATGATTCAACCAAGTCATGATGTCAAAATGTGCATTCCAAATGTGGTTCTATCTTAACTTCAAACTCACTCAATATGCACCAAATAATTAACAACTAGGCCATTGAAAACTTTTCGAAAAATCACACCTTTTAATGGAAATGATCAATATTTTTTTCTTATGCAAGTGCAAGTAACTACATGAGATGCATCTAGACTCAATCCTAATGTGCAAATGCAAATGATGCTTTTCTTTTTGTGTTATGCAATTTTTGAATTTTTTTGATTTTTTTGGTTTTTTCTATGCCATAGATGCAATGCACATGATGTAAGAGACTCAAGGATGAAAATCAAAAATAAGAAAACAGAAAACATGGTTAAATACTATGGAACTCTCCCCCAAACTTAAACTGCACAATCCCTTGTGCAAATAAAAGGTTGAAGAAAAGACCCATCAAACAAAATGCAAAAACAGAGAAAACTAAAAATGTATGGTAATTACAATGAGTTGGAGTTGTACCTCTCAGGTACTCATGAAAGAGGAGCATTCTTGACTTTCAAGGCTGTAGGATGCGTTGCTGTACTCCAGAGCTGGCAACCTCAAAGCTTTAACATGGCTCAGACGGGAATCGGGTTGTTCTGAGGAGCAAACCTGGTTGAAATCCTGGTTGCGACCATTCTGTCAAGTTTCTGCAATCTGATTTTTAGACAATCAACTCAGGTCTCTCAAGAACATCCCAATTCCTCATCCAAGCAAAGCTGCACCAAACCTACAACACAAAAGCAACAAAGGCAAACACAAAATAGCAAATTGAAAAGCTTAAAAATATCTACAAAAGGATAAGCATGAGATTTCCTCCCAAATGAGCTTGTTTTAGGTCCCAAGCTTGACCTTCCTCAACTCTTGCTAGTGAATGGTGAAGGGCTGCACGCCTTTGACAGTGATGGCCATGGCATGAGCAAGGAGACCATTGGGTTTGACTGGATCACCTGGGGATGGATCAAGAGAGTAAAGCTGTGGTTTCTTCATCTTTTTCTTTCTCTCAAGAGTGGTCTCTCTGCCTCTACACACCTCCTCCTTTGGAGCACGTCCCATGTGCTCACTAAACATATCAACTAGACACTCTCCATCCAGAATATCTTCCTCACATTCATCAAGCATATGCACAACCTTGTCACACTCAACCTTGTCCTTCTTGAAGTTGGAATTGGCAATGGTTATGGTTCCACAATAATTTGTAGAAGAAACCTTCATTGGGTATGAGATATTGCTGTTGATATTGTGGAGAGTTACCAACTTCTTGTGAAAGGCAATGGAGGCTCCAACAGTTGTAAGAAATGGTGTTCCAAGGATCAATGGTACCTCCTTGTCTCCATACATACCCAAAACAGTCAGATCAATTGGAACCTTGCAGTCTCCTATCTTCAAAGTGTAATCCTTGATCAGACCAAGTGGAGACTTAGAAGAGGCATCTCCAAACATGATAGAAGATATAGGAGGCGTCATGCTCTTAATACCCAGCTGCTTAACCATGGCAAGTGATATCAGATTCACACTTGCTCCAGAATCCACAAGAGCATCATCAAGCTTCAAATCTCCAAGGGTGCAAGGCAATGTGAACTTCCCTTGTTTCTCAAGCTTGGGAATGGAGGTTGGAATAATATGGGGAGGATCTGGTGGTGTTGACAGCTCAAGAAGCGCTGCCACTCTCTCTTTGTTCACAAGAACATCTTTAATCAGCTCCATTTGGAGGTGAGCTTCTTGCATATTGTCTATGTTGGGTAGATGAACACCAATATTGCTCATATCATTCCTGAATGTGGAGATTACCTTCTTTTGAGCTTTAGTGAGAACTCTCTCAGGAAATGGAAGCTCTGGTTTGTAAAGAGGAGGCTCAACCTTGATGGTTTCTTCTCTTGCAACAATCTTTGAGGCTTCCTCCTTGGCATTTCGTTTTTCAGCTTGAGAAGTCTCCTCATTCACTGGACTCTCAACACTTGTACCATGAAGGAGCCTATAGAGTTCTTCTATAGCCCTCTCATTCTCTTCAGTCTCAGCCACACCATCTTTAGTAGAGAAAACTGCATGACAATACTCCTTTGTACTTGATGATGAAGAACCACCAACTTTAGCTTCCAAGTTATGCACTTTGGCAGTCAGAGACTCAAACTTGTTGTTTAGATCATTGTGTGAGCAATCAACCTTGTTGTGAATCTCAACCATCCTCTTGTTCAATTCTAAGGCACCATTAGCTTGTCCTTGGATTATCTGTTGCAACATGGTCTTCATCTCTGCCTCTTGACCAGAACTGTGGCTTCCTTGAGCTTGAGTAGACCCAAGATCTTGTGGAGCAAAGCCTTGCTTGTAGTACGCCACATGTTCTCCACCTTGATTACCACATAGTTGAGCGCTCTCTCTTGAGTTTCTCCCCTCTTGAATCACAATCTTCTCACCATTAAGAAGTGGACTTTCTTTTTCTGACCTGACAGTAGCTTGTCAAGCTTATCATTGAGAGTCTTGAGCTCCTTCTTGTGCTTCTCTTCTTGAGCAACTGCTTTCTCAGCTCTATCACAATCTTCACCATAGCTCCCATCACTAGTGGCAATGTTCTCAACTAAAATCAATCCAGCATCAACATCTTTACCCATGAAGTAACCATTGCTTGCTGAATCAAGATGCATTCTGTACTTGGGTAATGCTCCTCTGTACAAGGTACTCAGTAGATTCTCCTTAGAGAAACCATGGTGAGGACACTGCATCTGGTAGCCCTTGAAGCGCTCATATGCCTCACAGAAAGTTTCTCCATCATTTGCGTGAAACCGGAGATATCATTGCGCAGCTGTGCTGTTCTTGAGGTTGGAAAGAACTTAGCCAAGAAAGATTGCTTACACTGCGCCCAAGTGGTGACTGATCCAGCAGGCAGAGATGCTTCCCAATGAGAGCTTTATCCCCTAGAGAGAAAGGGAAAAGCCTTAACTTGAAACCATCTTCAGAAACTCCATTGAGTTGCTGCAAAGAACAAATCATGTCAAACTTGTCAAGATGCTTCAATGGATCCTCATCCTTCATGCCATGAAACACTGAATTCTCCACCAATGAGACCAAGCTGGTCTTGATTTCGAAGTTATTGGGGACTGGTGGTGGGGTGATTCCGTGGCGGTTGACATGAGAAGTCGGAGTGTCAGCAGCTCTGATTTGTCGTGGAGGGTGTGGAGGATGAACTGGATATCCTCCATGCTGCTGGTCAGCTCCCAATGGAA